CGATTGCTCGTTTGCCACCTTATGTTATAAAAAAAAATAACACTTATCATACGTCATCTCAGTCATCACTCCCTTTTTGATCATGTCACCTTTTACACAATACATCTATCTCTTTCTACGTCTACCTCTACCGATGTACCTTTCCACACTCATAACTAACATTCTCCTTGTAACATACGATTCATAATTCATAACATGCCCCCATGCTAACCTTTTACTCCTTACCTTCTACTACTGGGGCTACTCTCAAACTTCCTCTAATATACTCATTTCGTATCTTATCCATTCTTATTCCATTACTTAAGTATTTTATTAAAATAAAAAATTCACCAGTTTCAATTTATTAATACTTATTATCTCTTTCAGGCCGATATTAAAATGGTCACGTCACAGTGGTCCAACACCGACAGACAAGACTGGTCCTAATTACGACCACACGTGTGGTCCTCCTGACCCTTACTCCCCTGTTCCTATCCCTCCCCCCTTAGTCCCCGCACATATGAATTATTCTCTCGCGCAATGCGTTGGTTATTACTTCTTTGTGAATATGAACGTGACGGGGCCTAATAAAGAAAAAGCAGATTTCGCGTCCACAGCTACTATGAAAACTGTAGTATTCAACCCACCCCCAAAAGTACATGGAAATATCAGTTCTAGTTACTACAATTGTTGTATGGTAAGTAAGGACCTATTTCATAATGTACAGATTTTATCTATACTATTATAATAAAGCGTAAACACACACTTCTTTGTTGCCTAAGATGTCAGCAATTACACCATGTTTTTGAATAATTCTTTCTTTAATGAAAAGCCCTACACTTACGTCACGCTTTAGGCTATATATTTTCACACTATTAAACTTAGGCGGTAAATATTTTGGATAAAAACCTTAATGTGGGAAAGAGACCATAAGTTGCTGCCATCATTACGGAAGCAAGATTGCCAAGGTTTGTCATGTCAAGTCATTTTGACATTTGCTATTGATAATTTGACAAATGTAAATAATGAAATAAAATTTTCATAATTTCATGCGGAAAAAGGTTCGAATCTCGAATGCGGTCGAGGGTTCGAATCCCGACATTCGACTATTGTCGTGAACCATATCCTAGCACAAGCCTACAGCTTAGTTGGAATGGCTAAAGGAAATACCAAAAAATCTACTAATATTAAAAAATGTACAATCGGGGAAAGTGTCGGTGTCCTAAAAAGCTAAAAAATTTTGACATTTTGAAATGAGCCGGAACAATCAATACAACGCTGCTTATTATAAATGTGTCTGTACGAAAGGAATATAGTTTCTTTTATTATCTTTTTGTTTGCACTCTCTGCTATCTTATTAGTTATTTGTAGAAAGAGGCGAAGTTTGTCATGAATAGGGCAATTTTCTCTAAAGTGGAACACCGTGTATTTCCGCGATTGTACAAGAAATCGTTTGTAGAAGCTTCTAATATTTAAATGTTAGTAATGTTACGTGTAAATGTCAAACTGTAAGTTTGGATGGATGTTTGTTATAGTAAATCTAAACTGCTGAACGGATCTCGATGAAATTTGTCGTAGATGTATATACTTTTTTTAATACAAGGCGGATGGTGTCGGGTGTAATAGCTAGTATGTAAGATTGAGATAAAATATCTTCAAAATGATGTATTTGTTATATTAGTTACGAAATACATTTAAAATTATTGTCTATATGTCGGCAAACTATATTTGTTCCTGAAATTCTCGGTAACGATTGGATTTTAACGGGAACGTAGCTTATGTGTTCGGGAATGTTATTGGCAATTTTTTTTTTTAATTTAATATCTATACTAATATAATATTCTATTTCCTACAGATACGTTTCTACTACCAACAAAACGGTAGGAACTACGGCTCTCTAAGTGTTGATGTTGTAGAAATCACATCAAGAGGTAATATAACTACATCTTTATGGTTTTCAACAAAAGATAAAGGAGAGAATTGGTACAGAGCAGCGATATTCTTACCAAATATCACCAGAAGGTTAGTTATTGTACTGTAATTTATATAGAAATTTTATTAGTCTATATCTATACTAATATTATAAAGAGGAAAGATTTGTATTTTTGTATGTATTGAAATAACTCAAAAACTACTGGGTCAATTGCAAAGTCTTTCACTATTAAAAAGCTACTATCACTAAGTAACATAGGCTATATTTTTTACTGTTTTAATTTCATATATACGAAGTCGCGGACAACAGTTAGTCCTTGACAAGTATAACTAGCTGTTGCTCGCGACTTGACCCGCGTGAAATTGAAAACTAATAAAAATGTAGCCTATTTTACTCACTGACAATGTAGCTTTTTACTGATGAAAGAATTTTTGAAATCGACCCAGTAATTTTGAGTTATTTAAATATATACAATAATACAAATGTTTCTTTATCTATACTAATATTACAAATGGGAAAGATTTGTATTTTTGCATGTATTGAAATGACTCTAAAACGACTTAACCGATTTCAAAAACTCTTTCACCATTAAAAAGCTACGTTATCAGTGAGTAAGCTATCTTACTCACTTACCCTATGGTACTTTTTTTTTTTTTTTTAATGACA